TGACAACTTCGCCACTGGTGCCCTGGGCTCTTCACAGATGAAAGCAGGTTCACACTGAGCACATGTGACAGACGTGACAGGGTCTGGAGACGACGTGGAGAATGTTCTGCTGCCTGCAACATCCTTCAGCATGATCGGTTTGGCAGTGGGTCAGTAATGGTGTGGGGTGGCATTTCTTTGGGGGGCCGCACAGCCCTCCATGTGCTCACCAGAGGTAGCCTGACTGCCATTAGGTTCCGAGATGAGATCCTCAGACCCATTGTGAGACCATATGCTGGTGCGGTTGGCCCTGGGTTCCTCCTAATGCACAACAATGCTAGACCTCATCTGGCTGGAGTGTGTCAGCAGTTCCTGCAAGACGAAGGCATTGATGCTATGGACTGGCCCACCCGTTCCCCAGACCTGAATACAATTGAGCACATCTGGGACATCATGTCTCGCTCCATCCACCAACACCATGTTGCACCACACTGTCCAGGAGTTGGGGGATGCTTTAGTCCAGGTGTGGGAGGAGATCCCTCAGGAGACCATCCGCCACCTCATCAGGAGCATGCCCAGGCGTTGTAGGGAGGTCATACAGGTATGTGGAGGCCACATACACACTACTGAGTCTCATTTTGACTTGTTTTAAGGACATCACATCAAAGTTGGATCAGCTTGTAGTGTTTTTTTCCACTTTAATTTTGAGTGTAACTCCAAATCCAGACCTCCATAGGTTGATAAATTTGATTTCCATTGATAATTGTTGTGTGATTTTGTTGTCAGCACATTCAACTATGTAATGAACAAAGTATTTACTACGAATATTTCATTCATTCAGATCTAGGATGTCTTATTTTTGTGTTCCCTTTATTTTTTTGAGTAGTGTATATTCTGTCTAGCATGTACCATGAGCAGAGCTCATGCAGTCTCTACTCAGCCTGCTAATATAGATACAAACTGAATTTATACACTAGCATCAACACTAGAATTACTGGACAAACTGATCAGGCTCTGTCTTAACAATCTTGCAATCAAGCACAAATAATACCACAATGAAAATATTATTAGTTGCTTTCTTCTAATCAGTTACACTTATTTCAGGTGTTACCTCACTCAAATGGAACATCTGAATCCTAACTCCTGAAAAGATGCCTGCTTATCAGGTGCCACCTGACCATAGAAGGGACCCAATCACAGTGTGAAAGCAAGAGTTTAAAACAAAAACCTTGTTTACATTCTATCCAAAGTTGTCCCACAAATAAAATAATTGAATATTTAGTACTTTTGGTTATATTAACCAGCATAAAAGCAACTACATAGAAAATATATTTTATATTATTTAACATTATTTATAAAAATGGATGAATCCAAAGCCATATTCAGAATATTTGAAGCTTATATTCATGACTTGTTGCAATTCTTATTACAGTTCTTTAAGGGCATTATTATCCTCAGCTTAAGATGGACAGCAATACTTTGTACAAAACCTGTATTTTGGAAAAGAATCTATTTCTAAATGCAATTTCTTGGCTACCAAAGTTCATTTATATTTCACTGGAAAGAAAAAATATCAGAAGGGAAAGTCAGCTATTGGAAAATCCTCAGTATAGTTCTTCCATTAGTACATTTTTTTGTGATTGAAATCCAAAACTATATTAACTCCAAAGGACAGGTACAAGGTAGGTCCATTGTGTAACAAAAGTTTGTGTGTATTTTTGTGTATGGGTATATGGGTATGCACATGCAATCTGTCTGTCTTATCCCTTGGTCAAGACAAGTCAGCAAGGCTCTTGTCTTCTTCTCTTGTCCTAGTTGAGATGTTCTACCTGGTGCTCTTAAAGCAATAGCTCAGTAAGATATAATATGCATTCTCTACTATCACTGTTCTGAACCAGATATAAACTAGAAATACTTTAAAATGTGATTAAAATTTTTGAAATGACTAATGATAAACATGTAATTATAGCAGTCTTGGTTCCCAAGATACCATGATGGGTATCTTAGAGAACAGACAGCAAGAGGCCGATGTGGAGGAAGAGAAGACATTTAGATTAAACATGAGTGATGTAGAGGGATGCAAGATCCCAAGGGAGGATCTTGTTTTCAGCATCACATCTTTTGTATCAAAAGATTAGCTGATGGAAAAAAAGAACAGTAAGGAAGAAAACTGGGTGGGGGGAGTAGCAGAGAAAAAGAGGAAGGAATGTCTTGGAACTAAAAAGAGAGGATAGTATTTCTTTGGCTACAATGAGTAGTATATTCACTTGCCTTTATCAATAGAATAAGTTATTGTTGCTATGGAGGAGGAAAGACGTTTATTGATAGATGACTCCATTTGCTTTGGCAGATTCATTGTAGAAACTGAAAGTTTGTCACATGCTGTAGAGAGATTCATTGAAGAGATTTATATTCATTCCGCAATGCTAAACATTTTAAATTTGTTACCATGGATCTTTAATGGGTCAGGACAAAGAATAAAGCACATGTGTCTGGCCATATCATAAGCTTTACTTTAAAGCTTTCTCCTTACAAAATTACAAAAATCAACATTTCAATTTAAATTTAGTTCATTTGGATTCTTAGCTGTTTATCTGAAACATGCCTATGCAAAACCAATCAATTTAACAATTAACAAATATTATTTCAAAACACTGATGTATTTAATCAATTAATTAATGATATACTCTGTTGGCTACATCTTAACACTTATACAGTGTCTAGTGAAAAGATTTTAACACAACATGAAGCTTCTTATTCTGAATTCCCCACTTTAAATCCAATCATATACCTTCCTAGAACAAATAGTAACCATTCCATGAAACTCCTCATCTCTGATGAGTCTAAAAGCTAGTGAAGTTAATACGTATTCTAAGTTTATTTATCCAATCCCCCCAAATCAATTGAACCCAGCTCATATTTATACAGCCTCTCCTTCTTAGTCATGCTGGTATGGCTCATGATTTTATTCTTTATTATAAAACTCCTATGTCTCTCTATCATTGTTAAAAACAGTTCCAAAAATGAGAATGTTGGAAACAATGTGAACCACTTCCTGTATTACATATATTTTGAAATAAACCATTACTTCACATCAGTGCCTTTTCTACCGTGTTTCCCCAAAAATATGACGTGTCCCAAAAATAAGGCCAAGCCTGATTTTTGGGGAGGGCATAAATATTCGCCCTCCCCCGAAAATAAGCCCAAGTGAAGGGTTGGGCATGGCCAGCACAGGACACAGCTCTTCCCTTCCCCGGTTACCTCCTGGAGGTTCAGCCCCATAATTGCTGCCCGCTGATCAACTGAGCCAGCGAGGGCTGCGCAACTTGGCCGAGATCTCCAGAGCACCTCTCCAGCTGCTGGCCTCCTTCCCCTTTTCCTTCCAATTGTTCTTTACTTTGGATCGCAGCACAGAAACACATCTCCAAAATGCTCCATTTGAAGCCTTCAGTCTTGCAACCCTGGCAGGGGTGTCTGTGCTGCGATCCCAAGTAAAGAATAATTGGAAGGGGGAAAAAAGGCGGGGGGATTTTCCTGCAGCCTGTCCTTTCTTTGGGATTGCAGCACAGATGCCCCTGCCAGGAATGCAAGGCTGAAGGCTTTGGATGGAGCATTTTGGGGATGTGTGTCTGTGCTGCGATCCCAGCAGGAAAATTACCCCCCCCCCCAATTTTTCCTGCCGATCATTCTTTACTTGGGATCGCAGTATAGATACACATCCCCAATCTGCAAAAGCAGCTGTGATTCTTGCCTTCTCTTCTCCCGCCCCCTCGCCGGGCATGGCAGGGCTTCCTGCCCCTCGCTTCACCCCTTCCCCACCCACCCACCCCAAATTGTGCCCCAAAATAATAAGACCCCCGAAAATAAGGCCAATCCCTTATTTCGGGGTTCAAAAAAAAAAGACAGGGTCTTATTTTCGGGAAAACATGGTATGTTCTATTACACCCAGACACAGAACATGCAGGAGTCTGTGCAGGAGATCTCTATGGGTAGACATGACCTTAGAAGACTGGAATTCTGAATTCTGTTGAAATCTATATAAAATAGGCCTATCTGGTTAGAGTTCCATATTCATGTAAGTATTAGCAAAAGTAAGATTAAAAGTGTCTGTCATTGGGTGCAGCTCTACTTCAGTGGTGAAATTCAGTCGGTTCTATCCGGCTCCGGTGAACCGGTAGCACCGGCAGGAGGCTCTACCCACCCGCCTATACATCATCACGTCCCACGCACATGCGTGGAGGAGGCACGCATGCTCACATTTGCGAACCGGTAGCGAAGGTAAGTGGATTTCACCCCTGCTCAACTTCCTCTTTCAATGTATAAAGAAGTGCTCTGATATGGCATACGGAAAGACAATATGAACAAAAATATCTTCAGCTGCTATGTAGATGTTATTAAGCTGAGGCAACCTTCTACATAAAAACACATGCAAATTAATTTTAATAATTAAACTAAATACATCATTGAAAGACAATTTGAGCTAAAAATTAACTGTACCTGGTCTTAATGTACATACAAGGCAGCAAAATAAGATATTAAGTTGTTCTTATTTCTACTGCTTCAAAGTAACATTAGTGTTTATGTATACTGTATAATTAAAATATTTTCAGTAAGTTGTTTTTCTACTCATTTTTCATCTATAGACTCATATATATGATACATGAACACACAGACGGATCCCACAGGTGGACAAAGGAGATGAACAGGTCAAATGTTAATGGAAAAATATTTGAAATATCAGTGATGCTGAAATGCTGATATTTCTGCATTTCTGAAAAAGAAATACAGTAAAGTGCCTATGTGCAATTCACCAAGCCCTCCTGCTGTACAACTTCCATTTATTTTAATGGAATATGTAAATGAAAAAAGGCAACAATAGCACTTGGGAGAATTGGCCCTGAATTTCCAATAAGAACACTGTTATAGATGTAACTAAAATAACAGAGAACAAGGGAAGAACAAGATTAGTGGATATGTTGTAGTGATAAACAACACAACGGCACTGGGAGTCTCTCAAATACCATTGTAGGGTTCAGCAGCAACAATGGAAATCACAGGGTCTGGAAGAAGAGTGTTGACAGCTAAACCTAGAAGGAGTGGGGCATTTTCTGATTCACCTATATCACAAAAAGAAAGAAAGAAAAAACCAGAGCAAAAGAGGTGATAATTACATCAAGCCTGAAAACCCAATAATACAAGAATGTTAATGTGTATGTTTACAGAAACATTACCAGATGTCCTTATGATGCCTAGCAATTTATCTCTAGTTTTACAATAAAATATTAATAAATAATCATTTAATTCTGATACGGGTTAGACTATTCGGGCACTGTTTATAATTAAAGAAAATATTTTCTTTGATCAAAACTTACTGGAAAAAGCTGATGAGTTAAAAATATCTGTTTTCTCAAAATCATAAAAAACAGAATATGGTGGATGGGTTAATTTAAGCAAATGCTAAGAGAATAATTCATTTTTTGCTGTAAATACTGCACAATCATGAAGAACTCCCCTGAGCTTTTATGAGCATCTAGAATAAAAAAATATCTGCTGCAAAGTTATACAGAGCTGATGGCTAGTGATATTAAAATGATTTATTTCAATGTAATTTATTTCTTTTCTAAAATTACCTGCACTAATGCTCTGGCATACCCAACTTTCAAGAAAGAATCAAAATGTAAAATGTAATAACCCATAGAAAATACTTCATGAATAATGCCCTTGACTCTTTCTCATACTCTATAGTATTCTATACAGAGGAGGAATTCTGCAGTTTTCTTTTCAACTCAAGTATTTCAATTTAAAATCTGCAATGCAGCCAGTCGGTCTCACCCACCATCTCTGTCGCCTGAGCCTGCAGCCAGTCCTCCTCCCCATGACCACCTCTTCTGTTTCTGCTCTAGTTGCTGACTTCGTTCCATGGAGCGCCGCATCATAGCTTCTAATTGTTCCTATAAACAATTCATGCAATGTCATGGTGTTTTGTTTTGTTTTTAAATCAGCCCTCATCTAAAAAGCATCTTTAAAAAAAGATTGTTTCTGACAGCACATAAATTTAACGTTTTTATTATCGGCACTGTTAAAAGAAATGAATTAGGATTTGTATCATATCCACTCACCTCTGAATAGACATATCCTTTGTCTGCAGTCACTTCTAAGGTTGCTACAGAGACTGAAGTTAGTAATACAAGTTAGATCACCTCCAGCATCTGTCTCTGCTGGCAATTTTGCTACTGCTTGACTGTCTGGGCTTAATTTGTTTAAGAATAATGCATGAGAAACGGTCACTCTGTCATCTCAGCAGAGCTATGTTTTTTTCCTTTCAATGGATAAACTCAATTCCTGTAATTCTTTCCAATCTCACATAGATTTCCTTCTTTCTTTAATCAGTTTGAATATTAAGAACAAACTCCAAAACGCAACTGGAAAAAAATATTATTCCTAGTTATTCTTATTATCTCTCTACTAAATAATTGCCTATTAAACTAGATAGGTTGGGGATAAAAAAAATCTACTCCTTTTTCTTCATCAATTTTCTTCATATTTTTTATATTGTCCCACTGAGCATAATGCACAGTCATCTTCCTATTTACCCAAATCCATTTCCCAAATGGATTTGGGAAATGGAGTTGATAGCATTTTGGAATGTGATATACTGAAATGGATAGATGGTCGATGATAGATTAGATTAATAGACAGGCAGGCAGGCAGGCAGGCAGGCAGGCAGGCAGGCAGGCAGACAGACAGACCAGGGGTCCTCAAACTTTTTAAACAGGGGGCCAATTCATGGTCCCTCAGACTGGCTGGGTAGGCATGGCTAGGTGGTTATGTGACTGGGTGGGTATGGCTAGGTGGTCACGTGACTGGGTAGTCATGGGCAATTTAGCAGTCCATTAAACAATGCACACAAATTTAACTTTTATTTGTTTTGCTCCTGCGGATGTTTTATTTGCTTTTGTTTGCATGTTGCTCTTTTGGTTGACTTTTCTTTTTACTAGATCGTTTTTTCAGTTGTTTAGGAGTCTAGTGATCCACTTCAGGAAACTCAGTTTTGCAGCAATTCTTCTCAGCCCCAAGGAGCTTACAATCAACAAGTCTCACTCTCTGTCTCTTCTCTCTCTCTCTTTCCCTCCCTCTCTTTCTCTCTGTCTATCTCTGTGTGTTCTCTCTCTTCTCTCTCTCTCTCTCTCTCTCTCTCTCTCTCTCTCTCTCTCTCTCTTTCTGTCTAACTCTCTGTCTATCTCTCGCTCTTTCTCTGTCTATCTTCTGGAGGCAGGGGAGGTAAAAAAATGAACCCTGTTATATACCATATAAGGAAGTAAGGAAGTGAGCTGCAGGCTTCACTCAGGTCCTCCAAATAGGCAGGAAAATACGTGAATCTCATTGGCTAAGCCGTCTGGCAGCTCTCTATAAAAGAGGACACTGCCAGACAAGCAGGTTGTTGGGTTGTATTGGTCTACTATTAAAGAGCTGTTGTTACTGAAGAACTGTGTCTGTCTCTTCTATCACCGAATCTAATACTGGCGATGAAGGTGGGATCGGAAGAAGCAGGACAAGTAGACCAGAGTCCCAGCAGAGCAGAAGCATGACCGGCATTGCCCGCTGCCTGCAGAATCAACTTCTGCCAGCATGATGACCACATATGCACCACCTGCTCCATTCAACCCAGTGCTCGACAATTGGGATTCCTATATGAATTGCTTTGAGTGCTTCATGGAGGCGAACAACCTCCTGGGTCTGTCTGACAACCAAAAGAGAGCACTGTTCTTTTTTTTTTTTAATAAAAAAGTTTTTATTTTCTAATCAGACAAGTATACAATATAAACAGTCATTCAAACTATCATCAAGAAAAAGAAAAAAAATCAATCCTTGGTAATCTCAATCTTCAAGCCCTCCTCACCACCCCCCCACCCCCGACTTCCCAGAACAGAAAACAGGGCATAGGTTTCACCAAACATTCGCTAAAATAAACTAACTAACTGCAAGATTTAATAACTCCCAAGACCCCTTAACTCCCCTTTTACAATTTCATCAACCTCCCTTTTTATAAACTCACAATAGCGTATAATCCAATAACTCTAAGAGTTTTAAAACCATTAACAAATATTAAACATTCAAACCTTAAAAATTCTCTTAATATATCAGTAAAGTATTCAATTGATTTACAAAAACATTTTTCCCCCTCCTACTTTTCTCAAAGTTCAGATATTTTAAAATCTCATAACAAAAAATAAACCTTAGATATTAATAGTTAAATTTCTTCATTTTTTAAGTTACCCCTCAGTAATTATAACACCTAAAACATAATCATTTTTTACCATGAATAAAACAACTCTAAGAATTTTAAAACCATTAACAAATATTAAACATTCAAACCTTAAAAATTCTCTTAATATATCAGTAAAATATTCAATTCATTTGCAAAAACATTTTTCCCCTCCTACTTTTCTCAAAGTTCAGATATTTTAAAATCTCATAACCAAAAATAAACCTTAGATATTCAGTAGTTAAATTTCTACATTTTTTAAGTTCCTAAATTTTCCCCCTTCATTATTCCTCCCTCCAGCTTTTAGAATTTTGAAAGATAATCATCAACATAATTAACCATTGATACATCAACTAGAAAACCAAAAAGGGTTAATCTTACATTCAACCATTAATGCATCATATTTAAAATCAATATTTAACTTTATGCTTTTTCCCCCTCAGTAGTTATAACACCTAAAACATAATCATTTTTAACCATGAGTAGAACAACTGCAAAGCCAAAAGAAAAGGTTAGTCTTCCATTCTTGCTTTCTTTTTATATTTTTTCCAGTCTTTCTGCAACCCTCCTACTTCTATTTTGAGGAGGCTTTTCATTTTGATCTGAGGTTGATGTAGCTGCAAAGATTGTCCCCTTTTTAAGAAAATTTCCTCTGATTTAGAGCCCCCAAATCGCCTCTTCTTGCTTATATAAATCAGTTCATTCCTTCGTCTATAGGACCAAAGTTTGTCAAGAGTTTGTGAAAAAAAGTTCAGTTGTTTCTTTTCAATTAAATGTATAAATGCCACTGGCAAATCTCCTTCATCTTCTGAAACTTCGAAAGTCTGGTCATTTACTGCTTTTTTCCAAACCAAGTCATAATTTTGAAAGATTCTATCAATTTTTTCAAAAAGAGCAGAGAATAAACTCGAAAATTCTTGAAAAGATTCTTCCACCTTCTCTGCTACAATCAGAATATCTCCTGAATTGTCATCATGCTTCATTCTTGTTTTTGTCTCCTCGGTCATTTCTGTTGTTATCCCTTTAAGAATTGCTATTTGATTACTTATAGCTGCAGTGTGATTATTCATGGCTTCTTTTATAAATTCTATAAATTCTGCATCAAAATCCTTATAGCTCTGTAAATCAGACAACTGTTCCATTTCTGACACCTCTAAATAGCTTCCAGCACTTTCAGGATCTTCTTTCTTAGAAGCCATTTTATTTTAAAAAGATTTCCTTTCTTCCCACAACCATAAAATCATAAAGTCAGAGCCAACCTTTTAAGCAGCTTTCAGCAATTTCTTTATAAATCACCAAACGAAATAGTCTTTTCCCAAACAGCTCTTCAAAATCTATTCCAGCAACTTAAAGCCAGTCTCTGAGCACTTAGCGAAGACTTTCCTTTCTAACTTTCCCTTTTAAAATCGCAACAAAGAAACGCCATCTTACTTCCAGCTCAGCAAGTTCAATTAGAAACATTGTATCCCCGGAGTTAAGTATTATACTTGCAAAAAGCTTGTCCTCCTGCTTCTGTTCCGCCTGCTTTTTTGAAATCATTTAATCTTCTGTTTGACAGCAGAAATTGGACGCAGCACCTAGCTCTGTAAAAAAACAGAGTCCCCCCGGATCCGGAGCTTCAGTGGGCTGAACGGGGAGCTCTCACCCTCCTAACCCCTGGAGTTAATCCAGGGGTTTCCGGGGAGCTCTACCCTCACCCACCTGCTCTCCTCCCCTTCTTTTCCCGAAGGGGAGATTTTCAAGCCGTTTGACAGCTGATTAACGCTGTCAGAACGGCTCAACGGGATCGCGGGGGCGGCGGTCTAAAAAGACCGTCAATGGTGCTGCGGAGCCAACCCGGAAGTCAAGAGAGCACTGTTCTTTAGCTACTGCGGAATGGACATGTTTGACATGGCGAAGGCACTCGTCAAACCAGTCGTGGTTCAAGTGGTACCGTGGGCCATACTGCACACTATGAGCTCATTATGTTCCAGTGCAGTCAAAATTCGTACGAAGGCGCGAATTCCACCACAGACTGCAGGAAGAAGGGGAATTGGTGAACCACTATGTAGTGGCACTCAGAAAGTTGCCACATATTGCAAGTTCTGAGAGCTGGAGGATGTGTTGTTGGAACAACTCATCAGCGAAGTGAGGGATATTAGTTTACGATGGCAGTTGTTAGCCAAGCCGGCCATCACTCTACAAACGGCCTTAGACAAGGCCAGAGCAGCAGAGAACTCGCAGAAGTCAGTTGCAGCCCTGCAAAGAGCGGGAAACATGCTGACTTCGCGCCCAAATGCTGCAGTGCATCAGGAGAGCGCCGAGCTAATCGAGTCGTCGGGAGACGAAGATGACATTTACTGACTCTAAGACAAAAAGGAAAAAGCATACCACGATGCAGATAGGAGACAACCCCTGTGTGCAGGATGTGGAGGGCCCCATTCCAGAATAGCACATAGATTTAAAGACACTGTGTGCCAGAGATGTGACCGTAAGGGGCACCTGGCCAGAGTCTGCCATGCAAGCACACCGTCTGCATTCAGGGCTAAACGGAAAACTGCTGCTACCGAAACAGTAGAGAAGAGGAGACCGCGACCATGGAAGCCCAAGCAGAAGGAAAGATCTTCTGGGGCTAACAGAGAGGCATACCAGACCAACATAAGACAAACCAGATCGGCAGCAAAAAAGATCCACGTTACCGTCCTGATCGAGGGGACAGAGTGTGAGATGGAAATAGATACAGGGTCGTCTCTGACTATTGTTGCTTGGGACACTATGAAAAAGACAATTCCGGCCTTGAAAAAGAAGGACTTGAGGCCCCGACAAATATAACTAAAAGACTATCAGGGGAACCTTATCTCCGTAATTGGCAGCGAAAAGTTCCGGGTGCAATTTAAGGGTTTCACAGGCCCCTTACAAATCACCGTGGTCAAAGGAGCATTGCCAAGCCTGCTCGGCTTGGACTGGTTTGAGGCCCTGGGTATGGGAGTAACAGGAATCAACACCATTTCACATGACGGC